CCTCCATCCCGTAGCTGACGCAGTGCGACTTTCCAGACCTCGGGATGAACGGGGAATACAGGCAGGTGAGACATCTTTGCAGAACGGCAAGCATCGTTGTGATTGAAGAGCCCTCGTATACGCAATACGATGTTGGTGGAGTATACAACTTCACAGTGACCGAGACAGGAGGTGAAGGGAAAGGTAGTGTGGCGTTTTTTCGAACCAAGACTCTCTTCGTTGTACCCGCATTTACTGACCGATTATCAATATTCTCTTCTAGCCTGGATCATCAGCAACTGTGCTCACCATTGATAGAGAACCCGTTGTGAAGGCTTTCCGCCCACCTTCGGCCCCTCCCCCTTCCACCGAATGCTCCAGCGATTCCCCATGTTCTCCCTCGACGCCTCGTCCACACCATAGCCCTCAAGAAGTCGCATTGCCTCCGCCTGGTCTAACCTGTCGCTTATATCGAAGATGTGGTCAACGACGGACGTTCCGTGAGCGTAGAGGGCCCGGATTTCGGATTCTTGCTGGGAGGAGATGTACAACTGGTCAAGAGGGATATCGGAGGCACGTGCATGGGCATTCAAGCCAGATGATTCGTCTCCGTTGGCTTCTTTGGACTTATAGACCACGAATTTTGTCGGAGGAGCAGAGAGAGGGGTAGGGAAATGAATGGGTGTTTCGGGCTGCGGGGTATTGGTGGAAGGAGTAGTAGTGCCTTGTAACGGTAAGACATCCGACGACGACGTTTTCGGTGAGGCGATTGAGGAGCTCGTCTTCCCATTGTATTTGCTCGGTGATGTGTTAAACCATTGACTACCTTGACTTATTGCTTCGGGCTCCACAGGTTTTCGAGGTTTGGCGGATTTTCGAGCCATCTGAAAGAAGTATTGGGCCTTGCAGGAGAAGGAATAGGAACACCAAAAATGTGAGACATCCAGATTCAGCCAATACTCAGAGTATTTTGGGTGGCGAGAGATGTGGCCCTCATGCTACTCCTTACTGCAGCTCCAACAATGTCCATGGTCCTTGAGACCACCTTTATGCATGTTTAGAATATATTTACTGTGCAGCATAAGGCTTAAATGGATGGGAATAGTGTGCTAAGAAAGGCTCGATAAAAGGTAGCTAGCGGCGCGTCGACGTTCTCGCTCTCCAAGTCGCGCGAGACGCGTGGCGGACGAGTGAGCCAACGGGGCGGTTCCGTCCGAATCAGGCAATCGCTTGGGTGCGCCGCTTGTCCCAGGATGTGCGAAGTGTATATTGGCTGGAGGTAGAGCGCCAATGGCCTCTACGCACGCACAGCCTGTGAATGCAGTCGGTCCTTTGTAGGGGTTCGGTACCCGCAAAGCTAGATGTTCTAGTGCTGCCGAGATCAACATAGCTAGAGACTGCTGAGAGTTCCAGAAGTTTCATGGGCGCACTCTCGAGTCTCCAGCTGTTCGCTACCAGTCGCTACCTCTGCAAAGACGAACCTCCGGCAAGCGCCGCCCTTAAGTGAAAAGACGTGTGGCGTGAGAGTGCGCCACACGACTCCGACAACAAAGGATCCACCTTCTTTGGGGAACTCCGGCCTCCAGACAATCATAAGACAGCAAACAAAACAGAAGCGTACCCACCCTTTCCACCCAAGACTCGTTAATCTCCTTAGCTCAACCGGTAGAGCTCAGACACCCACCATACTACGCTCTGTGATGTTGGTTCGAATCCAGCTGGAGGTAATTATCTTCCTGTCCTCGAATTCATTTTTTGCAGTGGTCAGAGTATCGTCTTTGCACCGAATCCAAGCCGAATCCCCTCCGGTCGCATACCCTGGTTTGAGCACACAAAGAAAGAAAGCACAGCAACCGAGTCATTATTTTTTCCTCGAGAGTAATGTTAGACAGACAGACAGACAAACAGACAAACAGGAGACTGAATCAAGAAGAATAAAGTACAGCAAAAATGATGCGATAAGTAAAGATCGAAGAGCGATAACAGAAACAATGTCAATATATAGATACTTTGAGGTCCAAATTTCAATGGAGTGGAGAGGTTCAGTTTGGTAGAAAGAAAAGAAGAGAGAAGATTGCACGCCTCAGAAGCGCCAGATCGGTCCTGATCCACAAAGCTCGGAGCTTCGAAGCAGTCCATAGTCCAGTCCAACAACGCGGGTATAGAAACATTGGAAGGCCCTCTTCGTTCGCTATGAGCGGTCACCCCGGAGGAGATCAGATCAGAGCTTTCCAGCCAGCATCCTTCACCTTCTTCACGAGCCTCTTGACTTCTTGGGATCGGGCCCTGGTAGTGATCATCACCGTATCAGGAAGATCGACGACGATGAGGTCGTCTACACCCAGAAGGGCGACTAGACGACCTGAACCCGGAACGACGATACCACCCGCCACCTGCTCCGTCAAGACTATCCGGACAAGCCACACATCAGCATCGCTCACAAAAAAAAAGTACAAGGCAAAAAAAGAGAAATAAGCGCACCAAGATGATGATCACCAAGAACCCTCGACTGATTCGCCTCCGCAGGCAACAAATCCGCCAACGATGAGAAATCCCCCACATCGTCCCACCCAAATGTAGCCGGCACGACCGCCACCCTCCCCTCCGCCGCCGCCGGCTCCGCCACCGCATTATCAATCGGAATCTTCTCCAACGCGGGCCACACCTCGCTCAGCACCTTCGCCCTCAACGTCTCGTCGTCCCACGCCGCCGCGACCTTCTGCAGTCCCTCCTCCAATTCCGGCTTATACGTCTTCAGGAGCTTGAGGAGGAAGGAAGCCTTCACGACGAACATCCCTGCGTTCCAGCGGTAGTTCCCCGTATTGATGTACGCCTTCGCCGTCCGCGCGTCCGGTTTCTCTTTGAAAGACTGCACGATTCGAGCATTGGGCGCGTCTTCGATGTCGAGCTTTTCGCCGAGACGGATGTAGCCGAACGCGGTGGATGGGTGCGAGGGCGCGATGCCGATCGTCACGACGTAGTCTTTCTTCGCAACCTGGACCGCCTCCGAGACGGCGCTCAAGAACGCGTCGTCGCCTGAGATCATATGGTCCGCTGCGAAACTCCCAATCACGGCGTTCGGATCCCTTCGAGCTAGGATGGCAGCAGCGAGCCCAATCGCAGCCATGGAATCCTTCGGTCCAGGCTCGCAGAAAAGGTTATGCGGGAGGAGATCGGGGAGCTGTTCAGAGATCGCTTTCATATGCGGCGCACCGGCGACGATGGTCGTGCGTGACGGTGTAGTGAGCGGCAACAGACGATCCCAAGTCGATTGAATGAGACTACGGCCCTGCAGCGTCACGTCGAGGAGGAACTTCGGGTGGCCTTCGCGGGAGAGAGGCCAGAGACGGGTGCCGGCGCCACCGGCGGGGATGACGACGTAGAAGCCGGGGATTTCGCGGATGGGGCCGAAGGGGTAGGAGGTGTGGTCGCCGAGGGGGGAGGGGATGTGGATTGAGGGGGGCATGGCGAGGGCGGGGACAGCGCCGGGGGAGAGGAAGGGCGATTTGGCGCGGAGGTTGGGGGAGCCGGGGGCGGGGGTCATGAAGCCTGGAGTGATTGCTCCTCGGGAGCCGTTGTGGTGCTGTTGGAGTAGATGTTAGCCATCGTGTTGTTTGCATTTTATATAGTAGGTAAGGAGGCGCAGAAGATTCGGTGGCGCAAAAACGTAAATTTAATGCACAGTAAATGCGCCACCGTAGGAATATACTGCAAGGAGTACAATCCGAGAACAAACCCTTATGCTGCACTTGGACATTCATCATGTTTTCAGCGTCCCAGCTTTCCGGTATAATAGCGCCACAAAGTGATCTGCGTCTATAAATAGTTTCCACGCCACAACCTGAAGCCCTCCTCCTTGGCATCCAGATGAACGTGTTCGCCATGAAATACGAACATCTCGACAATGGGTATAAAAGGCCGGTCTCCTAAGAGTGATCTTCATAGGTAGTGCTCGGCCTTCTTGCATTACGGCCATGAACGCCGTAATAGAGCCCAGACAGAGCTCGAACGGATGAAGTCTCCGCCAAACGCGAATGGCAAAGCTGCTGCATGTATTCTCATACTCATACCTCTTCATTCGCATCGAGAAGGAGAGACACGAGACTGCAAAGGAGTGCCGAAGGTATCAGATGGTGCTGCTGATCGACGTGGCACAGTGAGAGCCCACAACGGACCCCAGTTCCTACGCAGCGGAACTGTGCACGACGCGTCGAGTAGATGTCCGAGTAGTCCTGTTTTTACGGTGCGCAGCACATCATCCTGCCTTGCATAGTAGTTCTCCAACTGACGAGGAAAAGAACAAGAAAAAGATGAGAGCAAAGAGCATATGTACTCACCCCTGGTGTAAGGCCCTCACGAATCTGACGTTCGAGGTTGTTGTTCGCATGTCTCAAGTCAGAGCACTCCTGACGGAGCTCAGCAATCTCTGCATTCTACAGGTCCTCGAAATGATTAGAAACGTCCTCTTTCACGTCCAATGCTACTACGTGCACGCACCGACTTCTGTACAACCTCCATGATCTGCTTAAACATATCCTCGACCCCGAGTCCATTGACTTTGGTACCTCCGGGATAGGCAGCGTCTGCGACCGGCGGAGACGTTATTTTACGCGCAAGAGAAGGGGAGATAGACGCCATGTCGTCAGCAATGAGGGGTAGGGTAGGCCTATGTGTATGTAGGGGTGCAAGGTGCAAGGCGGGTGAATGAAACCAAGACGGGGTATTTATTGCGGTGGGTATGGATATAATTGGGCCAGGCCGGACAGATATTCGATCTCAACGTGTCTGCGTGATCTTCCCGGACCACCGGAACCATGTAAATGATCGCCACGTGGCGCAGCCTCAGCCTGTTCTCGCCTCAGCTGGCTCTTTCAAAACAACGACCATAACGTCGCAGACTCGCAGCGCAGACTGTGCTCCTTGTCTCCATACACGCTCTAACACCCTCCCTGCGGCCCTTTGTTCTCTCCGGACCCTTTAGGCTGCGCTGGCCATTTTGACGTGGCTAGTTCTCCCTCGACATATGTACGTCTGCATCATCGGGGCGTCTTCGCACCCTAAGTCCATATGTGCCACATCACAGATGTTGTGATACAGTCGGCGGCTCACGACGGATCCCTGCTTAACCTTCGTTTCCACGGCACCGCGATTCCATACATCTGTTGGTCGAAGTTCTCATCTTTATGGCTGTGCGAGAAAGCGCTGACCGGTAAGGATCTGTGCCGCTCAGCGTGCAAGTCATGCAGCTGTGGGGTGTGCCATAGCAAGTGCCATAGGGCTATGATCCGGTACTGCATGCGTGGCCTCAAGTGAAGAGGAACGAATGTCTTCGTCGTCCTTCTCTGGTCTTGAGATTGCATACCTGGTGTCGGTGGGCACTTGTCTGGTAACCGAACTCGGTCATTAGCCATGTTCCCCGTTCGATGATGAGCGGACTTTATGGGGGGAACAGTCTAGATACGTAGATTCTGGGTATGTGTATCTAGTCAAGGACATGTGGTTGCTCGCTGTGTCAGCGCTAATGAAGCTGAGACTCAAGATATATGGCCTGGGGACTGTTTGGTGTGGTGCTGACTTTGCCATCCCTTATGAGGAAATATTCTACGAGGCGAGCTCCACTTGTATTCCCTAGTCGATGCCCATTTATTATGCCATGTGAAATCAAGATTCATTCGACTTCTTTTTCCATTGTGCCTTTGCTTTCACTGCGTCTAGCGCGATCTGCGTCGTTGTTTGACTAGACGGTTTATATCTGGTCGACCGTGCGGTGGCGAGCTTTGAGCTTCAAATGACCCTCTTTTCGACGATGTAGGATGACGGATAGGTACAAAGACTTCTCCTTGTCAATGGTGGATAACACTTCACTCATTTTGTGATGAGCAGAGTTATTTCGCCTACCTTTCTGCATGGCAAAAAGGTATCAGCTGAATCTCTGAAGGACCTCCAAGCTGGAGTCGAACCGGCGACTAAGAGTCACATCTCTTGTGGTCAGTATATGTATCTCTTTGCTCTTTCCGCTGAGCTACTGGAGGTTCTAATCTAGGTAATGATCCGACTGATCCATCGATCGTACTTTGTCTTCCTTACAGTCGGGAGTAGCGCGTGGGTATTCATAAGGAACGAAGAGGACTACGCAACCTGCGAGTATCTTTCACCGCCAATGTGTCCTCCAAAATTCCACTAAAATTCAATCTCTTCACGAATCTAGACACATTTAATACGGTCAATCAAGTGGTACATCTCTGTTATCCATGTTGGGAAAAAGTGTGTCATTCCGTGACCTCGTCGTAACCTTCAGACTGGAGTCGAACCAGCAACCAGGAGACAACCTAGGCGCGAGATGTGAGGCTATCATTTCTCCTCGCTCTACCGTTGAGCTACTGAAGGATATCTGGGCGTATTCGACATTGAACATATACGTTCTCCGTTGTCCTTTGTTTCCGATGTGATGCTTTCCCTTTCCGCCAAGCCCGGGGACAATGTAATCTTTTTTTTTGTCTGCCACGCGCTGTCTCCCGGTCGCGAATCCCATAATACCTTTGTTGCTACTTCTTCAGGCGGCTGGTTGAAAGTACTCCGTGGGAGGCGGATCTTTCCCTGCCTGTCGGGGAAAATGAATTCAAGACTCAAGCCTTCAGGTTGGAATCAAACCAGCGACGAAGAGATGATCGCATCGTTGTCTCCATGCTCTTACCGTTGAGCTACTGAAGGTTAGATTAGACGGATGATCGGTCGCACATGGATGTATTTCCAGAATGACTTTGGGAGTGGCGTGAGACGTCGACGTGTGCTCAAGGAGAGGGAAACTTTTCAAGCTGGCTAGCGTATGGCTCGAATCGACGAGCAGAGACCGCATTTTCCCTTTATGCAGAGATAAGTAATCTACCCTGGGACCGACTGTGGCACCCTGATCTTGCGACTTTGACTGACGCAGAAGCGAGTCGCAGAAAAAGATCAAAGGAGTTGTGACTTCGACTTCACAATCTCTGCAGGTCCAAATAGTTGATCAAATATGTATCTTCTTCATTCGAAATCGTGCTCATCATAACGCTTGACCGAAGTCGACGCAAATAAATAACCAGGCCCCCAAAAGTCATCAAAGACATTATATAATAGTAAGCATACGTTCGTCACTCAGCACCTCACTCCATCCAGCCTCCAACCGCTACCTTCCCCTCTCCAAAGCTTCACGACCGTATCACTTAGACAGCCTTGCTCCCACGACCTCTGCTAGAGCAGCACTTGACCATAGCACCCGTGTCTACGCTGTTACCGAGATGTCCACCGTACGGCTGGCACTGCTTCTCGGCCTCGTTGAAGTACGCTTGTTGGTTGACGGCGGCGCAGCAGTCCTTCGTGACCTGCTCGTCAGTCTCGCCTGAGCCATCGAGGTTGGATGTGCAGATTTCTGGGCCACCTGAGATGGGAAGAGGGGTGGTTAGTCGACTTCGACGATTGGAGGTCATGGCGAGAGGTGCGGATGGAATGAGAATAGAGATGTATACCTCGCTTGTAGATGCCTCCCTCTGTAAATAGCTTGATAGTCAGCCTGGGTGCTACATGATGATCGTATGGAGAGATACATACCAGAGTTCTCAGCGGCGGGAGATGCGAAGACGGCGACGGCGGAAGCGACGACAGCGAGGAGAGTGAATGAGAAACGCATTGTGATGATGATGTCGATGAGGGGAGTTTGGTATTAGTGAGCTGTTCGAGTGTAGAGGAGTGTAGAGGAGTGGATGAGGGGACAAGATTGACTTGATGCTGAGACGAGGTCAAACCACGAATGCTTTTATACCTGCAATTCTCCTACCTTTAGCTCGGTACACCGACACCAAACTTCACGTCTAAACGTTTCCAGCACACAAATCGTATGCATTTTGCATCGCTATGGGTGGAGCATCTTCCACTAAATTAGGGGTTCTCGCCGTTAGCGAGACTCATCCTCTGAGATGGACGAATTGCTAGCTTGTAGCGCTCGTGGAAGTGGGACGGATTGCTGTGGCCCGCCTGATCCGGGCTCACGTATGTAACAGCGCCAAGGAGAGTTCACCGTCGATCGACGAGGTAAGGTGGTCTGGTGATCCTGTATACCTGATTGTTGTCGAGTGGATGAACTTAGGGCCACAGTTCACAGTGCTTTTGAGTGGATATATCTGGAGACTTACGGGTGAACGAGCGCTCACCGCGATGGGGTGCGTTTCATTCGAGGTTAATACAGCAATGTATACTGATCAAATGATGCAGAGGTGGTCATGAAAGATGTGGGGTGGACAGGCAAGCTGATGGACTGGAAATGAGACGGAGTTCGCTGACTGGAAGGCATGCCCGTATAATAAATCGCACAGTAAGTGCTCAAGAAAACAGCAAGCGAATCTTGTATAACACCCAACAAGATACGGCAGCTATCGTCTGAGCAAGGGTACCGCTCAGTAGGTACTTAGGTTGTTACTTGGGGTCGGGAGCACCGCCAGACAAACAACCAGAGACGCGATACACATGTGCTCGACGATGCAACAGCGCAATGTCTTGGTAGTTTACTTCCTGTACGACACAAGGCGGATGAGATCCAGTCGCTCTGGTCAGTTGATCGTTCGCCGACTGGAAGATATGTTTTTTCAGTGGCGGTGTGTCGGAAAATAGGCGCTGGCCAAGATGAATGTTGGTGTGGCGGTGGCACCGACCATCAGTCTCATTCCCCACTTCCCATCTCCAAGCCATCTCTCACCGCAGAGTGTACTGTGAAGTGACGGTATGATATTCTTGCATGTGACTAGAAGTAGTGATTTATTGACGATTTTATAGACATGAAAGAGGGATACGCACACCTCTGGCAAGATCATCTTCCTGACCTGTGCATGATCGTCGCAACGCCATCAGAGGTAGACGAGTGAGCGAAACGTGCCCAAAAACTATCATTGATGCCAAATAAAACAACACCGCCTCATAACAGGAGTCCACAGAAGCGGGGTCCTTGAGTACATCACGGTTATTTATATCTCACCAGATTACTGTACTTTTTCGATCAAAGGTTCGTCACGCGTTCTCCGCGCTGGTGAACAGAACAAAATCCTGCGTGACCTCACGCATAACGCATGGTGAGCGAACAGTGACCTCGGCAGGCGCTTGCGCAAAATAATCATTTTTGCAAGCGCCTACGTTGTTTTCTGAACTATTTACGGGTCCCGTCACGCTCACGCACGGTTTCTGAACCGTGACCGGGGCGAAACTGATGGGTGACGTACATTTCTGATGAACCTTTGGTCGAAAAAGTACAGTAATATGAGGCGGTCAAACATGGTGTTGGCACGACTCATGTATTAGTACCAGGCCAGTACAAAAGGTATGGCAGTAAAGTTGCGCTGCATTTGATTTTCTCTATGGCTGCGATGGATCTTCGTGAAATCTTCGGGGTGTTTTGGTGTGACACTACACCTGGAGCCAGTTTGTGAACAAAACGGCGACACCGTCGACAGAGTACAGAAGTCCTTGAAAGGCTCGACGATCACTTCGACCTCTTTCATAGTGGATAAATAAGCACGAACGTAATGATATTATCCATCATGCTCTCGATTCTCTCGATCGCGAATGATTGAGGGGAAATGAACGGAGGTGGAGGTCTTTGGACGAACCCCAATATCAACGGTGAATATTGGGTGTGGATGTGCACTGTACGGTGAGTTACAATCCATGTGCAGGGAACTCCACATACCAAGATTCGCGTGGAGAGAAACCCACCCAGTGACCGATCTCAAGAGACGAAGTAGACGTACCCATACGGACAATTACCTATAAGTATCAGGTCAGTCCGCTCGAACTCCCTCACCATCCTCCTCCTCATCAAATTTCAGCTCTCACGACTACTCTTCCTACCCTACACCACCAACGATGTTCTCTGCACGCTTCATGTCCTCGGTCGCTCTCTGCGTTGTCTACTTGACAACCATGAACGTTGCCAGTGAGTATACACCAGCCTGTCCCCACGATGTACACAGAGCTGACATCACTCCTACTTCAGATGCTTCCCTTCTCCGTCGTGGTAAAAATCTTGCCGCCCTTCGTAGTACTCGACCCATGCTAACATGGTGACCGTGATAGGTGGCCCTGAGATCTGCACAGACGCTCTCGACGGCTCAGGATGCGCCAACTACCAAGTCACGAAGGACTGCTGCGCCGCCGTGAACCAGAAGGCGTACTTCAACGAAGTTTCGACCGAGTGCTGGCCCTACTCAGGCCCCGCTGGCAACAGCGTCGACACTGGGGCTATGGTGAAGTGCTGCGGGAGCAGGGGGAAGGGGAGTTCCGCAACAAATTACGGTAGCGCTCCGGTTTGTTAATTGGGGAGATGGAGCGGGGAGAGAACGCCAGAGCTACGGCCACGACTTTGTACTTACAGTTCCTTTCTCTAATAATTTGGTGGTCCACCATCTTGGATCAACGAGTTATATGCACTCCCTGACTGGTACTCAGTATGCCAGTCTTGCACCTCGAGCTGTTGAAGAAGAGAACAAGAGCGCGATACTGGAAAGGACGCACCCAAGCGAGCATCAGTACAGATGTGCCGTACGACAGGCCTGAGCAGAAGAAGCGTTGTGAGAGGCCCAAAGAGCAGACGGTCAAGATGCAAGTGTCTCGGCGCCAACGTGGCGAGGGCTGAGCGCCCTGCCAGTGCCACCCGGATCCAAACAAGGACATACAACGACCATTTTCGGCGAACGCGACGCGACGCGTTCAAGTCGTCCCCTTGCTTCTGCTCCTCTACGTGCTCACCGTACATACCCATACCACCCTGACAAAAACTGGACACACCCTTTGACGTGCGTGGGATACCACTGGGCTACACATTGTCACTTGTGCTTCCCTTGTGCTTCACATCAGTGTATACATCTCAGACGGATGAACTGCATCTAAGATCGCTGAAGCCGACCTATTTCTATAACTTTCGAAATAGCTCCATTCTGGGGGGAAGCAAGTACGAAATCAAAGAATACTCCCTAGCGACGACGTTGGCTGGTATAAAATTCACGGACTACACATCTTTTTGATTCGTCACACGTAGTGAGGTGCGTCCCAGCATTTCCTAAAGGTAGGCCACTTCTGATGGCACTGTCCGGCCTGAAGGCTTACTTCCTGTTGCGTATACACAGGATTACGAATGACTTCCATATATATCGAACAAAGAAATAATCAAGTCAACAAAGCCTTTGCCTACACGTAGCCCATTTCTGAGGACGAGACTGCTTGTGTCATGATCATGGCTGTTCGTTTCAGTGCCTGATTATCTTCAGGTATTATGAGCTAAGGCTGGTACCATCATTCGTAGTGAGTTCTAACTTCTCTCCCGAAGGAGCAGGTCTAGAAGCTTTGGCGTCCAGTCTGGCGTCCATTATCCTTAAGGCTGCACTTCTGAACGCGCATGTTGTACACCGTTTCACCTCGTACGACGTTCGCAGAGTTTGTCTATGCCACAGCATCTAGGCACTGATTCTTGGACTACATTATTTGCAAACGCTGTTCTAAGAGAGAATAGAGGCGATACTCTTGACCCGCTGTCGCCTTGTCATTGGCAGGACGGCCATGCTCTTGTTCACGACTTTCTTCTCTTCCACGACGAGCTATTTTGAGTCCTCTAGGCAAGCGCCTGAGATGCAATATATAAACTCGTATTCGTCCCCTCCAACTAATCATCCGCATTCGACACTCACATACACACAAACGTCTCTCTATTCATCTGTATCATGCAGCTCACCACCGTCTTCTTCACCTTGGTCTCTGCACTCCTTTTCATGACTCCTGCAGTCACTGCGAAAGTCGCCTGTGACCCCTGTAAACTATGATTTCTCTTTCTTACGCACGTAGGAAATAACTGACACGCTTGGTTATAGCGTCCGCCTGCAACGAAAGGAATGTTTATGCACCTGCACATGCCTGCAAGTACACCGTGAACCAATGTGACCAGAACGGACCCATTTTTAGTGGGAGTAAGTTACTCTTTGCAATATTGATACCTCTCCCCAATCATGGGTGACATTTTTGACTGACAAATTTATCTCTGGTCTTCCATCGCGCAACAGCGTGTGTGTCTACAACAGAGGGCTTGGTGTGCCAATAGGTGTACAAACGAGGATCTCTTGAATCTATAGTCATCATCACCTCGTATCGTAGCTGTGTAATTACTCGTCAACCGTTCTCTGCGAGCATTTTGTTAACACCAATGTTGATCCTGGGATATATCGTTCGGTTCATAAAGTGGGCAAGACTCAATAGTGTTTTTGAATGACTTCAAGGTCTTCAATAATGCGGACGAATATATTCTGTATTTCTTCTGATTTTACAGAACACTGGAGCTTGCAATAGCTAGCTTCGAACATTCACACCCGTGAGCGGATTTTCGGAACATAATTTGACTTGATTCATGATCAACCTCGTGTTTCAGTCGTGGTGAAGCATCGCCAGGGAGACCGCCACTGATCGAGAGCCATGCCCTAAAAGGGTGGACAATGACACTTCCGACACGCGAGCTCCCGGAGCTGTGCCCGGACATGAAAACGACGGTCATTTGTAATGAGACACAAGGCCTGTTTGTCGCGTGGCCACCAGTATATATACCCGCCCGACTAGCCTGACGATACGGCCACTTTTCCTCCCCGCGAGTCGCCTCCGAGTATATCGGATCTCTCTCCATTAAGCTCTGTCTTTGTCTTTCGCTCTCAGGTTTCTCACGTATACGTGTCATAAACCATGGCCGACAACGCACGCAGGGGCACAGGCGTACCCCTAAATCCAATCTCATCCTCCGTCGACGCTCTTCTTCATCTCTCGGAGCCCCAGTTACCCAACGATTCACCCCGGGAGCGCAATCCCAATACACTCCACAACCTTCTCAGCGACGCAAAATCCACCCTCGCAAACGACCTCTCCACAGTCTCTACGTCCATCTCCCGCATCCAGGACGACTTCACCCGTCTCACTGGCAAACCACCTCGCAAGCGCCTAGAAATCTTCTCTCGCGTCAAGACGATTCGCGTGCCGAAGCAGGCGTATGGTTCGCTTCAGCGAGACCTGGAGAAAGTCGCGTCCACCGTGAGCGAGGGATGGGGGGATTCAGTCTTGAGTAAAGTTGAGGCTATGCAGGAAAGATTGATTGAGAAGTGGGAGGCAGAGCAGAAGGTGCGAGAGAACGTATATCAGCGGAGGATCGAGGAGGCCACAAGAGACCGCGATGAACATGTAGAGGCGCAGGTCGCCGCAGAGAGTATCATCGAGACTTTCCGAGAAAATGCGCGCACATCTCTTGCTGAGAAAGAGGAAACTCTGAAGCAGCTTGCGAAGGAGCAGGAAGAGAAGGACGAATTGCTGGAGAAGGTGACGAACATGGAGAGGGAAAGGGAAAACTTCGTCAAAGCCCAGGAAATGGGAACGGCCGTCATCGAAGCCCTCAAGGAGAATGTGCGTACAGAGATAACTCAGAGGGAGAGGGTCGCCGATCAGCTCTCAACGGAGAAGATGTTCAAGGCGGTATTGCAGGAGAGAGTTTCGTGTATGGCGACGGAGAGGGACGAGCTCATCAAGGCGCAAGGGATCGCGGAAACAGCAATTGACGCCCTTTATGCGAATCTACGAGCGGAAACGGCGAAGTGGGAGGATCTTGAGGAGCAACTCCATAGAGAGAAGACGAGGTCGGACGTCGAGGCTAGGATGACGGAGAGAATAGCCGACTTGGAGGCTCAGGTGGATTCGGAGCGGAAGGCAGCGGGGAAGCTTCACGCCGAATGCAGCATGCTCCACGAAGATATTTCGAAGGTGCAGCGGGAACTGAAAGACGAGAAGTGCCGAGTGGATGGCTTAATCGAGCAGGTGGTGCAGAGAAGAACAGCCATGAAGAAGTTAGAGGACGATCTCACCAAATCCTTCGTAGAGAGGAGGAGGGAGAGGAAGGACGGCGATAAACGTCTCGCAGAAGAGGCTGCTCGGGCGTCGGACATGAAGGTACGGTCAGATCAGGAGAGGGAAGAGGTATTCAAGATGCTGGAGGCGCTAAAATCGAAAATGAGGGCGGACAAAGGTGAAGCGGAGCGGCGATTGGCGGAGGAGGTTGCGAGAAGGATTAATTTGGAGAGGGAGATAGTGGTGTACCATGACAATGAGGCGAGACGCAAAGACATAGAGAGTGGAAGAGAAAAGGAGACACACTGTGTGGCGATGGAATGGGAGCTGCCAGGGCTCGAGAAACGGAATCAGGAGAGGACGGATCGAAGTGGCTCATATACGTCGCGCTGCGCAGTTCCCAGTCAGAGAACTGCTTGATGAGCGACAGGTTCGATATAGGTGTAGCGGCGTATGATTATTTATCGAGCAATTATGTATGTATAGTTACCTTGGCGTAAATGATGGTCTTATGTTCACCTCAGCACCTAGAACTACACATGGAAGGGAACGAACCTTTGAGACCTCGAAACAATCGGCCACGGTCCAGGGTGACGGCAGACGCCAACAAGTGCCAAAGAGCCAAGACGCGAGCTTGTTTCGGGTGGCTAAACAGGTGCAAATAAGGACATACAAACCTCTGTTTAGAGCGGTCGCGAAGCGACGCATTTTGACTCATGCTCAATAGATACCAGAGGCCAGCTCTCATTGTCTTCGCTTTTCTACCTTTCTTCTTCTTTGGGCACACTGATATACTTATTCGTACAAGCCCACGTTGACAGACAAAAATCACGGGCTCAACACTGCAACGACTCTTGGCTGACGCGCTGACGACAAACAAGGTAGAGAGTGGCGATAATGGGGCATGATGGAGCAGCGGTTCCGTTAGAATGGGGACCCAAGCAAAGGGGGACGGAGGTAAGGGCTGTACAAGCTGAGTCAAAAGAAGTTCAGCAGACGCAACAAGAAGAGACACGGCTCAGACTCAGAACAGGACCCTGGAGTATCTTTTCTCCCTGCTCTACCGCTGAGCTACCGGAGGACGATGAGTCTACGCGTGAACGCACTTTGTCACGGTTTGCTCTGCGACGAAACAAAGGAAAGAGGTCCATGCGCCACTCGCCATCATGAGGTGCCAAACAAAACGAAAGGTTGTGCAAAAAGTTCGTCAGGTTATAGCGAGAGACCTCTAGGCCGGATTCGAACCAACGACGGGGAGAAATCAATTCTTCATATTTTGAGCTATCTTCTCTCCCTGCTCTACCGCTGAGCTACTGGAGGTTGATAAATCTACGCATTAACGCCTCCATTGCCACAGTACGCGGAGGACGAAACAAAGGAACGAAATGACTGCGCCACCCGGCCGCTGTCTGCCGGACCAACGAACGACGCTTAGCGATAGAGTACATAGTGACAAAAAAAGTGACCTATTCGGCGTCGTGAAGGACCTTCACACTGGAGTCGAACCAGCGACGGGGAGATATGGATCTATCATAGCATCGTGTATCTTTCCTCCCTGCTCTACCACTGAGCGACCGGAGGCTGATGATTCTACCCATCAATGCCTCTATTATCACGTTCGGCTCCAAATGGGACAAAGCAAAGGTCCATGCGCCACCCGGCCATTGAGTACCGGTCAAAGACACAGGTTCTCGACGGAATGGAATAAAGTCAAAGATTACAAGATCTTGGTAGGACCTCCAGGCTGGAATCGAACCAGCGACGGGGAGATATCCTCGTCGAATGTCGACTTGTCAGTCATCTTTCCTCCCTGCTTTACCGCTGAGCTACTGGAGGTTATTGGGTCTACGTCTTATCGCCTCATCGCCCTGGTGTGCTCCGGACGAAACAAAGCAAACATGAAGGCCTGCGCCACTCGACCGCTATGTGCCCGACCAACGAACGGTTCTGAGCGATTGATAAGACAAAAAGAGCGAGCTGTTCATAATAGACCAGGAACTCCAGGCCGGATTCGAACCGACGACAGGGAGATAAAGACTCGGGAGTTAAAGCGCACCTATCTTTCCTCTCTACTCTACCGCTGAGCTACTGGAGGTTGACGAGTCTACGCGCTAACGCCTTCACTGTCACGGTACACTCTGCTACGAAACAAAGCAACGAGGTCACTGCGCCACTGGGCCGCTATGTGCCGGACAAAACAAAGGCTCTCAGTAAAAAAAGAGAGCGCGTAAAACGACCCAGGTCCTCCAGGCTGGAGTCGAACCAGCGACGGGGAGATATCCCTCCGAAACTATTGCTATGTTTCCTCCCTGCTCTACCGCTGAGCTACTGGAGGATGACAAGTCTCCGTCTCCACACCTCCATTGTCACGGTTTGCTCTGCGACGAAACAAAGCAGCAAGGTCCATGCGCCACTCGGCCGCTATGTACCGGGCGAAAACAAAGGGTTTCAGCAAAGAAAAAACGCACTATAAATTGTTCACGAAGGACCTCCAGGCCGGAGTCGAACCAGCGTCAGGGAGCTATCGATCTGACAACCATTATTCTATCTTTCCCTCCTGCTCTACCACTGAGCTACCGGAGGTTAATGAATCTACGCACCAACGCCTCAATTGCCACGGTACGTTCTGCGACGAAACAAAGGAAAGAGGTCCATGCGCCACTCGCCATCATGATGCATCAAACATAACGGAAAGCCGTGTAAAAAAGGAGTGAAACTATGGGATAGGACCTCCAGGCCGGAGTCGAACCAGCGACGGGGAGATATTCACCATGTATATAACATCTTTCCTCCATGCTCTACCGCTGAGCTACTGGAGGACGATAAATCCGCAACAACGCCTCCATTGTCACGGTCTGTTCTGCGACGAAACAAAGTAACGAGGTATCCGAGCCACTCGGCCGATGTACCTGGCCGAGGAACGGCCCTTAGCGATAGATTAGACAAAAAAAGTGACCCACTAGATTGCACTAGGACCTCCAGGCTGGAGTCGAACCAGCGACAGGGAGATGACGAAACGAGACTCAACATCTTTCCTCCCTGCTCTACCGCTGAGCTACTGGAGGACAATGAATCTACCCATCAATGCCTCTATTATCACGTTCAGCTCCAAATGGGACAAAGCAAAGGTCCATGCGCCACTCGGTCGCTATGTACCGGGCGAAAACAAAGGGTTTCAGCAAAGAAAAAACGCACTATAAATTGTTCACGAAGGACCTCCAGGCCGGAGTCGAATCAGCGTCAGGGAGCTATCGATCTGACAACCATTATTCTATCTTTCCTTCCTGCTCTACCGCTGAGCTACCGGAGGTTAACGAGTCTAGGCATTCACGCCTCCATTTTCACGGTCTGTTCTGCGACGAAACAAAGGAAAGAGGTCCATGCGCCACCCCCGAAGTGCCAAACATGTACAGAACGAAAGGCCGTGTATTAATAATAATAAAAAAGGGTGTGGTCTCTGGCAGTAGACCTCCAGGCTGGATTCGAACCAACGACGGGGAGATACGTAGAAATGCTCTCGAATATCGGACGCTCACTTCAATTTTCCATCCCTGCTCTACCGCTGAGCTACCGGAGGTTAACGAGTCTGCGCATCAACGGTCCATTATCACATGCTGCTCAGGACGTCGTAAAAGCAACGTCTCTGATCCACCCGGCGGCTGAGTGCCGGACGAAACAAAGGCTTTCAGTAAAAAAAAAGACGCACTACAAATTGTTCACAAAGGACCTCCAGGCTGGAGTCGAACCAGCGACGGGGAGAAATGGATTACACAATCGCAACATATGTCCTCCCTGCTCTACCGCTGAGCTACTGGAGGCTTGATAGTATGTGTATGGGTGGGGGCGAGGAGATGTGTGACTTACTCGATTTTGTGTTTGGGTATGCTCGCTCGAATCTAGTAAGTAAAGCCAGATATTCAGGAGTGTGAGTCAGTGATCGATCCCGAGCTGCAAGAATACAGAAAAGCAAGCCCGCAAACATATGTAGCAAACGACCCATCCAAAAAATAGGCATCCTGCAAACGGAAAACCTCCGGGCTGGAGTCGAACCAGCGACGGGGAGACTCAGATATTCATCATATCACTGACACACTGTATCACCCTGCTCTACCGGCTGAGCTACCGGGGGTTGCTTTGTTGATGGAGGTGGAGGTATAAGGAAGGAAGAAAATGGTCGAGATCGATGTACTGGTCCCGACCGCGGTGACCTAACCTCGGGGCGGGGTTCGATTGGAACAAAGGTATGAGTCGAAGTCGCCGTACAGAATAAAGCCGCCGAGCCTACCTTATACTTACTCCCTATGCACAAACCCTCTCATCGTCGCAAACGACGAGCAGCACCGACGATAGCAGTGGCCCGAGTCGAAGTTGGGTTACGTAAGATAGCATGGGAAAGGCGGGGAGCGAAAGAGGAAGTGAATTTGAGATTGGAGCGCTGCTGCATTCTCCGCTAGCCGCACAGCCAAACCCAGTCTTTACTCTCCATTTTCCGGCCTTTTCTCTTCTCTCTCTCTTTCATTCCTTTCTTTCCGCCTTGTCTAGCAAGCCCAGCTCTCTTTCTGTTTTCATATACCTCTTTCCTTTTCCTTTCCTCCGAAGCCTTGGGACGACAACGTTCAACGGTCGGAATATTTACACAGGATCTCCATCTGGCCGATATCTAAACCGCATTCCATCTATCAAACAAAGTCCCAGCACGATGTCGATGATGGCCACATCCCCCGCACAACCCCAAACGCAAACACAACATCAGCCCATCCCATCTTCATCATCCTCTTCCACCACCTCCGCCTTATCACCCTCTCTCCCCATCCCCAACACAACCGCCGATGCCCCACTGCCTATCACCCGCTCCACGTCCGTCAAGTTCAAAGATCAGGTCAGCCCGCGCGAACAACAGCAGCAACACGCCCAACAATCTCATGCACACCCGCAACAACAGCAACAGCAGCAAACACCAGAAGTCCACGTCAACGGCTCACCGTTGAAGAAAGGACCTATACAGCGCACGCCGAAGAGCTCGTTACAGGGACAGGGACAGGGACAGGATGAGGCGGCGTGGGGGAAGAATTTTTGGGTGACGCTTGTCGATCCGCAGGTGAGAGTTCTCAGCCTTGGCTTTTGGCTTTTGCTGCGGTTTTTTGGAGACGCTGCTTTACGATGTTTGTGGGGATGGCGATGGCTATTGTTAGGGTTATGATACCGAGGATGGGCTATACGTTGCCTGTAGTGTTATGCTCCGTTGTCGTGTTCGCGACGACCATCACTATCAGCAGCATCATTCTTCGTCTTCCACGCTCGCTCGCTCGCTGTGCGGGTGAACCACTCCCGCGCTTTCTCACAGCCCATAGACGATGTTCGTCCACCCATAAATGACGTTCGTCTATCCCTGCCAGCTCACCCATCATGTTGTCCTTCATCGGTATCGGTCTCGGCATCGATTGTCTCTCTATCCGAGTTCTATAATGTCCTGTCCTGTCCTGTTCATGCTATCTCCTCTTTCTCTGCTACGCTTCGAGCGACATTCACCCCTTGCAACTTAAGTTACCCTCCCCCGCCCGGCGCGCTTTGCCCCGACGCACGATTCTTACGGGCTTCCCACCCCGCTCCGTCGAAGCAAAGCGACGTTATTGCTACGTAGAATTCCTGCGCGTTGCTTGTCCATTGCCGTCGTGGCAATACCGTCGCATATCGCGGCAATGGAATCCTTTGCCGTCGTGGCAATATCCGCGTATGTAGGGACGCGAGAGGTGAGAGGCGAGAGGCGAGAGGAAAGGCGTTCCTGGGCCTATCATAGTTCGAATTTTCGCACCCTTCGTACTCCTGTCCGCTTATGTATTACCAGTCGTCCGTCCGTCTGTGGAGTCTGAGTAGCTTATTAGCAGATTCGTATGTCAGTCTGCTGTTCTTCATGTTCGTCTGGCTGGAGCGCTAGAGGCGTAGAAGCCCGTCACGCTAGACCTTGTCGTTGACATAGACGTAGCCTTGGACGTGCGCAGGGACAAGGGACAGGGACAGGGACATAGCCGAGGCAGGCTTCGAATTCTAAATTCTGATTCTGGCGGACAGCACTGGGTTGAACGTCGGATGCGAATTGCGTTCCGTTGGGGGACGTTGGGGGATGGTGGAAATGTGTGAGGTAGAGAATGAGGTGTGGCGTGTGGGGGCCCCTAGCCCTATACCGCGACCTGAAGCGATTTTGAGTTGACTTGAATTCAGGTTCTTTCGACGCGTTTCTCTCTATTCCTCTTCTTCCCTTTTTTTTTTTTTTTTTTTTTTTTTGGCCTCGTCATGCTCGCGATTCGTGCTCCTCGAACCGAACCGAACCGAACCGAACCTCGTTACTGACAATCTCTATCTCTATCTTATTCTTATTCTTTCTCGGTCGATCGCCACCGTCTTGGTTATTGAAACGCGGCGAAACGAAACGAATCTCATTCAACGGCGGCTATACGGCATGGAACGAAACGAAATGGGATGGGAATGGTATAATAGACCGGCGTGTCGTTTTTCGCTTGTCCGTCGACGGGCGAAGTTAGTTGGGATCCGCCTGTGGGCAATTTCGTGTACGTCCGCTTTTCTATTTTCTGTCTATCTTCTGCTTTCGTTTCGATTCGTATTTCTACTTACACGAACGCGTCTCATCCTGCCACCGACACCGACGCCACCTCCTCCCTCTTCTGTTCTCTACTCTTCCTGTCCGGGTCGCTCCAATTGCCATCGTTCGAACCCGCCGCCTCCTCCCTTCCCCCTCCGTATCCTCACCTTTCTTTCTTTCTTCCTTTCTTTCTTTCTCTACTCTCACATCTCTCTCTCTCTCTCTCCGCCCCAACCTCCTCTGTTCTGTATTCCACATCCTAACTCATCCCCCACCCCCACTCTCGAACAGCCTCCCCCCAAGCGAAGAAGGCGAATGGTGGGAAATAAGCGACAAGACCCGCGGCGGGCTGCCGTATTACTACCATACGAAGACGGGACGGACGGTCTGGGATAAACCGGAGGGGTTCGTTATTCCGTTGACGGTGCTGCAGGTGAGATTTTATTCTCTCATTTTTTCAGGAGGATACTTGGGGTTTTTTTGGGGGGGCGGTTCGTTGTGTCTGGTTTGTTGGTCATCCTGTTTGTCGGTGGCTGGCAGGACGGATAGCAAAAAGGTGTGCGGGGCTTGGTGGTCGCGCGTTTCCGCTTTGGACGTTTATCTCTATTCTACCGAACGTACAGCGACATTTCTCTTGCTGGATTCAGCGCGGCTTTTGGCCCGCTGTGTGGCGCAGAGGGCTTTTTGAGACCGTCCAGCCGGTCTCCTTATCGTCCTTCCTCTAATTCTTCCTGTTCCTCTTCATTTTCTTTCCACCTTTCTCTTAATTTCAATCCTTCTTCCCTTCGTGACTAACCTCCCGTGAATCAAACAGAACACAGCCCTCGGCCGCCGTCTCTCTAAATCCTTCGACTTCACGACGTACGCAGACATCTCTACCTCCGGCACTGGCTCGCCTCCTACCAACTCAGCCGCTGCCACCACATCTTCCCCCTCTACCACCACCGTATCTCCCTCTCCATCCCAGCAACACCAGCAACACCAGCAACAACAACAGCAACCTGACGCATTTCAATCGAACCAAGCACAACAGCCCTCGGCTTGGTCCAACTCTAATAATAATAAAGCAGGACATGGACAACATCATCGGAGGCGCTCGTCGTCTTCTACGCGTGCGCGGTCGCATTCTGCGTCGAAAGCTAATGGTCACGCGAACGGGAATGGAGGCGTCGGGAATGGAGGCGTCGGGAATGGCAATGGCAATGGCAATGGCAACGCAGGGAACGGACATGGGAAGCAAGCACATTCGACCCCGGCGTCACCACAAGGCCTCCAACAACGCAGTCTATCCTCCTCCGAATCAACACATTCTCAATCGTATTCGCACGCGCAGGCACAGTATGCGCAGGTGAGGTCGTATTCATCGCACGGGTACGGACACGGGCATGGAGGACACGCAGGACACGGAGGACATGGGTTGGGATTGGGATTGGGTGTGAGGACGGAGTTGGCGCCGATACCGGGGTCTCCGTACGCCACGGAGAAAGAGGGGAGTACGAATGGGGATGGCGGTAGGGATAGGGAGAGGGAGGGACGTGGGGAGGATAGTGTGCCGGGGACGCCGAGTTCGTCGAGGTTCGGTATGGGAATGGGCTTGGGCGGGTTAGGGAAGAAATCAGGGGAGAGAACGAGGGATCCACCGTCGCCTTCACCTTCACCTTCGAGGCTACGTCTCTCGCCATCCGGGTCTGCGAATGGATCGGGTCCTCCGAGCCCAAGTCCGAGCCCGAGTCCGCAAATGAGACATCCACCGTCGCTCATGCCCGCCACCGCCACCTCTTCCTCTCCATCTCCCTCGCATGGCCATGGTGCAAGCACGAATTCGAATTCGAAGGCAAGCGCAGGTTTCAAACCGAAAAAGGTTCCGCCTCAGTCTCTGAATGCGGCGGTCGAACTTATATCGGGGAGTCCGCCGGGGACGCCTGTATATACGCATTCTCCGGGGGCTGGGTCGGGAGCGGGGTCGCCATTTGGTCCTAGGACGACGCAAAAATCGCCACGGGTGTTCGTAAATGAGGGAAAGGACAAGGAGAAAGAGAAAGAGAAGGAGAAAGAGGGGGATGGGGATACGGTTTCGACGGAGAGTGGGTATGCGTCGCAGGGGGATCGGGAGGGGACGTCTGGGTCGGAGAGGGAGAGGGAGAGGGAGAGAAGGAAGGGGAGTGGGAATGGCGTTGGCGGGGGTGGGGGTGGCACTGGGATGGGGATGAATGGGGGCATGAATGGGGGAGCGGGAACGGCGCTGAATGGGAATGGGAGTGTGAATGTGAGTATGAGTGTGAGGATGAGGGGGAAGGAGATTAGTGGGCCTGTTTTCGATAATGGTAAGTGTGTCTGGTCTTTTTTCGTTACTTTCTTTTGTCCTTGTTGGTGGTGGTGAGGGCGAAGCTGACGGTACGTTGACTATAGAAGCGACGCTGAACCTCAGTCCTGTCAAGTCGAGAGCAGGGGGCAGGCCGATCCCTGTGCAGGGCAAACCGCCGACGCTACAGAAGGGGCAGATCGCGACGTTGAGTACTGGGTGCGTGCGCCTGCCTTGCTCTCTCCGCTCCACGTTCCCGGCGCTCTTTTCACTTGACGCGTTCACTGACATGGATATATGCTACTCATTCGTGGGTGTGATCTGGCCGTTCTCCGAATACAGGCTGTATCCGATCCTACCGCAAGCGCTGGCAGAGGACATACAACAGTTTGTGGAGAGTGATTTCGCGAAGCAGTATTTCTCGACGCATAAGACGGGTTTTATCTTTCGGAGGAAGGTTCCAATGGAGCAGATGATGACTTGGCAAAAGGTCCGTTTATCCCGTTGTTCCTCAACCCCCATCGTAATTTTGATCATTGACTTGATTTTGTGTGCATGCGGCAGACTTCGCTCGCCGGCCCTCTTCTCAACGCGAACCGCTCCCTGCACAAAAACGCCGTCAAATCGTTCAAAATCATCCAACGACTGATGGGCGACACCCGTGGGCCCTCCTTTCGTGGAGGTGGCGGTGGCGGGGGTGAGCAGCTCGCGGCCGTCTCCTCTGCGAACGCGTCGTCCGGCTCGTTCCATTCGTCGAATAGTGCGTCGGGGCATGGCGGTGGCGGTGGCGCAGGGGGGCCTGGTGGATTGGGTGGAGGAGCGGCTGGGAAGGCGTTGTTGGAGGAGGAGAGGTGGTTGCTTGGGGAGGGATTGACGCATGGTGAATTGAGGGACGAGATTTATTGTCAGGTTATGAAGCAGCTGACGGGAAACCCGAATCCGTACGTGCCTCTCCTCTTCATTTTGGTCGCTATATGCGCTAATTCGATGCGGTACATAGCGAAAGCGTCTTCAAAGGCTGGCAGCTCCTCTGTGTCCTCCTGGTCACCTTCCCACCCTCCAAAAACTTTGAAGCCTATCTACACTCCTTCCTCCACCAGCGCACCTCCCAAACCGAATCCCGTGTCGACGTCATGGCGAAATACTGCCTCAAACGCCTCGCCCTCATCGCCAAAAAAGGCCCCCGCGGTAAAGCGCCATCCCTCTCCGAAATCGAAACCGCATCCGACGCCGCCTTCAACCCTTCCACCTTCGGCGAATCGCTCGACTTCATCTTCCGCCTCCAGGAGCGGATATATCCGAGCCAGACGTTCAAGGTCCCGATCGTCTTGCCGTTCTTGGCGGATGGGATTTTGGCGCTGGGCGGGACGAAGAGCGAGGGCATATTTAGGGTGCCCGGGGACGGGGAACAGGTGGGGGAGATGAAGTTGAGGATTGATAAGGGGTATTATACGCTTGAGGGGGTGGACGATCCAAATGTGTTGGCGAGCTTGTTGAAGCTTTGGTTGAGGGAGCTATTGGACCCCTTGGTGCCCGATGAGATGTGCGTTTTTCTTCGTATTCTGCCCGTGCGTACGTGCGTGCTGACGCCTGTTGGTAGGTATAACGATTGTATCACGCACGCGCACGACCCAGAAGCGTGTGTCGCCGTCGTGTCGAGGTTACCGACAATCAATCGCCGCGTCGTCCTCTTCATCGTCTCTTTCCTCCAGATATTCCTCGACGAGCGAATATCGAAGATTACGAAGATGACGTCTGCGAACCTTGCGCTCGTTATGGCTCCGAATCTGCTGAGATGTGATTCGGAGAGTATGGCCGTTGTGTTTACGAATGCTTCGTGAGTCCTACTTCCCTATGAATGAACTGATGCTGATCCTAAAACGGTGTGCTAGGTATGAGCAGACGTTCGTGCATAATCTGCTATTGCACCTTAGGTGTAACGAGGTTGACCCGGACTATAAGCCTCAGCATGGGCTTGGGGCTGTTCCGCAGACACCGCGGCCGTCGAGCTCGAAGGCACGGAACCGACGTACCTAGTCTCACCGCCCGTTAAATTCAACATTCACTTGCAGGCTTGTCCTCCTCCCTTTTCTCTGTTGGTTTCGATACGCTCTGAATGGACATGGCACCTTGCGGCGGGGCGATTTGGCGATTTCTTTGTGGTCTGTTCTGTATGTCTCTTTAAACCTTTGCATCGGCCCTCGTGTTGTGTTCGGCTCGTTCTTTCATTCGTTTTTCTTCGCCCCCAAGCTTTATGCTATTGTTCCATTATTCCTTCTTTCGCATGTGTATGTAGTCGTTCTGCCTCTCTCCTTCGATACACATTCACACTCTTTCCTCTGCCTGCGCACCCTCACTCTGACTCTCATCCTCGCCCAAACCGAATCTTCCTCTCGCCTTCAATGTCCTAGCATGTACCGGACAATCTCACACTCGCTTATTTCACATCCCTCGTCCGTCTCCCGCTTCACCTTCATATACCATTCCATCTCCTCTTCGACCTTCCCAACTTGTAGATTCATTCCAACATGATCCCATGGACTCTTCCGCCGACATATTCCATCTCACTGCATCTCTGGATTAGTAGTAGCCTCTTTTCTTTTCTCGGTTTCTTTGCCTCCGCGCACGCGTTCCTTTTCCTTCCTCCAGTCCCCTCCATCCTTTATCTCTCTGTGTCCTGTGATCACCTTCCTCCCTTGATATCCCATGGCCAGTCCGTCCGTCCTACTCTCTTGCAATACGTATAATCCAATACATGGGGCTCGGTTTCTAATTTATACCCTCCTTCACCATCGCATAACATCCATATCTCGGTTTCGGTTCACGGCACTAACGCCACCCGGAGGGATATCACGTTGGCCTTGCCGAGTTGCACTTCTGCTTCAGGAACGGTAAGTGTTGAGCTCCCTTGGCTTAGAGGACCTATCCGGTCCTGGTCATAGGACTGATGGCAGTCATGTACGTTTTTTCACACCTCGTCATTCTTACCGGGTTTTCTTTATCCGGTACTATACTAACGCGTGAATTCCTATTGTTGCAGAGACAATATGTTCGAAGGCCAACTTCCCTTCTCCCATCTAACTACTGCAGGCCTAGGGAAGTCTTTGGCTTTGATCCGCCTGAGGAGCGTGTTGTTGTCGATGAATCAGCGAGAGAAATTTGCCAGAAGACTGATGCAGACCGCTTGCAGTAAGGCTCTCGATGTTCAGACATCGGCAACGGGTTTGCCATGGCGCTGTGGTTCTCAAGGCCTTGGGTGTACATTTTCCAGCGAATACAAGGGACTACATAGAGTGATGAGCCCTCTTCTTTCAGCTGACGAAGACTAGGCTATGAAGACCGAAAACGTATATCGACCAATGAAGAGAAGCGCCCTCTGCATCAGTCATCCTCGAGGTCGAGTCATTCAAGTCTGGAGTAAAAGGTCGACCCTAAAATGTTTCATCGGTCTTGGTCATCTGGTATTCTTTTGGATATAGCTTTGCGGTCAGGCGGTACTGTGGATCAGTACGATCATATAAATGCAGAGGCTCAAGGGTGTTGTTTTGAATTATCCTTGCATCTTCATCTCACCTCGTCCTCTCCAGTTACCGCTAGCTAGCTCCTCGCTGCTGCTCAGTCTGCACTCAGGTCTTGGACTAGGTGCTTTATAGCTTGTGCTTTCTTGATTGGAAGCTTCTTGATACTCGTTCAACTTGGTAGCTACTTGCTGTATCTCGAAAATATGAGCTCTGGAAACACATTCTCTATGGCTCAGTTCCGCTCTCAGTCGCTGTTCCTCCCGCATAACTTCCGGCAGGTCCTTCGAAACAGCGTTCAAGGCGGGCCTCCCGTTCTCGGATACGCTGTCTTCGTCAACAGGTTCGTTGAACGCTGATCCATTCACTTCTTCCACCTTCCTGTCGCCGTCAAATCCAGACGTATGGACTGACATTCTGCTATGTACGTCTAGCACGCAACAGCTACGATCCGTCGCAGCCCTCGGGTTCGACTTCGTGTGGCTCGACCCGGAACACTCTTCCATGAACGTCGAGACTTTGACCGAATTGATCCATACCGTCAGTTTCGCAAGCGAGGGGCGAACCGTGCCGGTGGTGAGGGTGCCGGGTCATGGTCATGAATGGATCGCTTCGTCGTTGGATGCTGGAGCTGGAGGCATCATGATCCCTCAGATCGACACTGGTGAGCTTACTGTCCGTTCGAGTTTCTATATACCGATAGCTGACTCGTGCCTTGTAGCGGAGCAGGCACGAGAGGTCTGTGCCTCTGTGACGTTCGGAGCAAAGAACGGCGGAACTCGGTCTGTGCCACCGTTCCGTCTCATTCGAGGCGTCACGGATGTGGTGCCAGAGGGTAAGACGATAATCGACGTCTGGAATGAGTATCCAGCCATCATAGCTCAAATCGAGTACGTGCTATCGACCCATCTAATTACGGATACATCCAACAGACAATCTGACGTATGTTCATGCAGGTCTATGAAAGGAGTCGAGAATATCGAGGAGATCTGTCAGGTGGAGAGAATAGATTGCATCTTTGTGCGTCCTTTCTTTCTGTCTCTAGGTCGATGTCACGCTAATATAACTATTACCATCCACGTAGATCGGTCATCTCGATCTTCGTATCAGCATGGGCCTCCCAATGCAACGTGGAGAGGTCGACGAGCCAGAGTACGCCGCCATCGTCAAGAAGGTGAACGATACGGCGACGAAGTATGGCAAGGCTATCGGCGGTTCTGCCTACCCACCCCGGGTGAAGGAACAGGGTGTGGGGAAACATTTCATCTTGATTGCTGGGTGTGTGGACGTTTCCTTTAATTTCTCAGAGTAACGCGGGAGGTCATTTCCTGACTCTGTGTTTGGAATAGCGACGCCCTTCACCTGCAGCAGGATAGGAAGACCCTCGCCAAGGCGCGTGACTTATTCCAAGAACCTGCACTAGAGCGACAGAAATTGTAGTTGTTGGACGAAGTGATAATGGTTGATGTGCGGAGACAATGTATGGACTTTTCCTTCGACTGTACACTGGCATCTCGAATCCAATAGATGGTAGCTCTCACGTATGTTCTCAATCGTCCATGGGAGGGGGTCAGCCGCACTGCAACATTTAGAGTGACTCCATGATCTGATTCAGATATCTAGCAACAGTCTCCGCGCCAGCCTTCACCTCCGCCTGATCCCTAACGATCACCATCTCCATCATCCTCGCAAACTTGTCCGGGTGCCATCTCAGCAACGCATTCCTGACCCTCTGCTTATGTGACTGTCCTTCCGAGTGAAGTGGTGAAAGTATAAAGTCTCGTACGTCAAGGAACGTGATCTCTTCAGCATTGAACGGTGGGTTGGCCATTGGCCATCGGATGCTCACGAATGTGAGGAAGCGTGTCGAACTCGTCGTGGTTGATAAAATTGTAGTCCAATCCGTCTCGTAGGCAGTCCAAGCTTCCAAGATGGCTCGGTCCGACCTTTGTCGACTGCGAGCCTCTCGCTGTGCCTTCTCCTTCCGCTTGTCCTCTTCTCTCGCCCTCTTCTCCTGTTTCTCCCTCTTTCGCCTCTCTTCTCTCTCTCTCTCCTTTCGCTCCCTCTCCATTTCCTTTCGCTCTTCTTCTCTCCTTCGCTCTTCTTCAGCTTTCCTCATCGCCTCCCTAAGCTTCGCCTGTCTCGCACGTTCCTCTTCGATCTTCCTCCTCGCCTCATGATCCTTGGTCCTATATTCCCTCAGCTCCGCCTCCAGCTCTTTCACCTTGATATTTAACAGACCAATCTTCTCGATCGACTCCTTCTTCTCCCGAATATACCTCTGCTCCGCCTCCACTACCTTTTGCATCGCATCCCTCGTCTGCTCCTGTGCATCCTTCTCCGCCGCCTTCACCGCAGTGAGACTCGATTCGAGTTTCCGCTTCGCCTGGTCGCTCCGTGAGAGCTGGCCTTCCGCGTTCTCTCTTCGCATCGTTTCTTCTCGAAGTCGACGTTGGGTGGTGGTCAGATCCTGCTGCGCCATGTCCAGTTCTCCTCGAAGCGTCAACGAGATGTTCTTCTCCGCCTCCAACGACTTCTCCAGACCGGTTCGAAGGTCCTTCTCCACCTTCAGCGTCCTCTGAGCCATCTCCAACTCGATCTCTCGAGTCATCCTGTCCTTCCGCTCAACGTCGAGCTCGAGTAATGCCGCCTCGCGCGCCGGGACTTCCAGCTGCACTGTAACCTCCAGCAATTCGTTCGCCTCCTTCGCCTCCTTCAATTGGTCGCCCAGCTCCTTGGCCTTCTTCTCCTCAACTTCTATCCGCTCCTCCAGCTCGTCCCTTTCGCCCGTAACCACCTCCCTGGTCTTCAACTCCTCCTCCGACAACGCCTTCATCCTCTCCAACTCCCAATCCAACTCTTCTACCCTCCGTACCTCTCCCTCCCACCTCCCCCTCATCTCCTCCCTCTCCGCCACCACCACCTCCTTCACCGCTCTCAACCTCTCGACCTCTCGCTTCGCCTCACCCAACTGTCTCTCCGCCCTCTTCGCCTTCGTCTGCTCGTCCCCGAACTTTTGCAATAGCCTATCTCGAACGTCGTGCGTTTGTTGGAGTTTCAAAGTCAGAGAGGCGAGCTTGGAGTCGAGCGTCAGTTCTTTTGTCTGTATGTCGGAGAGTGTGGCATCGGCCTGGTCTTGGAGTTCGGCCTGCACTGAGGTTCGGACGCGAGACTCGAAGTCCTCCAGGTGGCCCTTCAGGTCTGGATGCGTGTCCGCGAAGTTGAACTTGAACACGGATCCGTCGTCTCCGTCTCCTTCCTCGGACGAACGGAGAGAGTCGTCGAGGGAGTCGAGCCGGTAAGCGAGGTGCTCGAGCATGTGGCGAGGGACTTTTAGGGTGTTCGAGTCCTTTGAACTCGAGAAAGAGGACCAGGGGCGGTCTTCGAAGTGGTCTGGATGAGATGGTTCGGACGTGACGAGGTCATGCGAGAGATCGGCTAGATCGGATATTGTGTGGACGAGCGATCTGAGGAGGTTGTGTAGGTGCGAGGAGAAGGAGGATTCTAGGAGGGTGAGGAGGTCCGGCCATTGAGATTTGTGTGGCGTCGAGAGCGGTGGGCGTTGTGGCGGAGAGTCGAGCACATCCTTGGAGATGATTTGGATGGGCGATGCGAGTTGTGTGGTCGAATATGAAGGAGATGAAGAGGTGAAGTGGCTCGTTGACGTTGTTGGTGTCAGTGTTGGTGTTGGAAGTGAGAAGATGGAGTCGGAAAGGTCGATGCTAGTATTGGCCGAAGACCCGAATGAGGCGTCGGACAAGTACAATGGAGGGTGGACGAAGGAAGGAGAATTCATGCTGCTCCAAATTTTCGTGGTTATATGACTTTCGTATCGCAAGCGCTATGGGTATGCAAAGAATGTAAGCCTTCGGCCTCGATGGTCCCACCAGAAATGGCTCCGGAAACACTGGGACGCACCTCGCTCCGTGTGACAATTCAAAGAGGCGTACAATCTGCTAGCACTTATATTGCACAAAGTCGTCGCTAGGCTACCTCCAAGGTGTTCTGATGTTGTACTCGTGCTCCTAAAGATAGCTGCTTGACACTTAAAGCAGTAGGTCGTCTTTCGAGCAACTTCCGAAACACCCTTGCGTGCGGTTTACACGTGGGAGGTGTATATACTAACGTTGAAGCACAAGTGACGAGATATATTCTTGTAGCGTCCCAGACACGTCGGAGAAGATACGTTCAGTCTTCAGCAGGGGGATATAAGCATGTACGGTGAGCACGTAGAGGAACTGAAGCAAGGAGCCGGCACTAATTTCATCATGAACGCGTCGCGTCGTTCCCCGAAAATGGGCGTTGTTTGCTCTTGTTTGGATAGGTGGCGAGACATCCCTCGCCACGTCAGCGCCGAGATGTTCGTCTAACATCCATCTTGATCGTCTGGTCTTTTCCTTGTTACCTCTCACTTGCCCAACCCCTTTAGCTCACGGCATTCGAACTCTGCTGCAGCGCACGCAGACGAGACTGGACATCTTGATCGTCTGGTCTTTTCCTTGTTACCTCTCACAACGCTGCAGGTATATCGTACGGCATATCTGTACTAGGGCTCGCTTGGGTGGGTCCTTTTCACTATCGCGCTCTCGTTGTCTCCTTCAGCAGCTCGAGGTGCAACCTACCAGTTGATAAGCGTGCATACAACTTCAAGTTGAATCATCATGGCTTGATGCAAAGTGGCAGACCACCACATTATTAGAGAAAGTGACTCTAAGTATAAAGTCTTCGCCACATCCTTCGTTTCCTCACCTCGCAGCTTCATACATATACCTCCTCCGACTAGCAAACCGGAGCACTACCGTAATTCGTTGCGGAACTACCCTTCCCCCTGCTCGAGCAGCACTTCACCATCGCACCAGTGTCGACGCTGTTGCCAGCGGGACCTGAGTACGGCCAGCACTCGGTCGAAACTTCGTTGAAGTACGCCTTCTGGTTCACGGCGGCGCAACAGTCCTTCGTGACTTGGTAGTTGGCGCATCCTGAGCCGTCGAGAGCGTCGGTGCAGATCTCTGGGTCACCTAGAATTATCACAATGTCAACATGGCTCGATGACCACGAAGGAAGACAAGTTGTTTACCACGACGGAGAAGGGAAGCGTCTGAAGTAGGAGTGATGTCAGCTCGGTGTACATCGTCGGGATAGGCTGGTGTATACTCACTGGCAACATTCATGATTGTCAAGTAGACAACGCAGAGAGCGACCGAGGACATGAAACGTGCAGAGAACATCTATGGCAGCGTTTGCTAGGAAGGGTATTTGGGAGAGATAGGATTTGACGAGGAGGAGGATGGTGAGGGAGTTCGAGCGGACTGACCTGATATTTATAGGTAACCGTCCGTACGGGTACGTCTACTTCGTCTCTTGAGATCGGTCACTGGGTGGGTTTCTCTCCACGCGAATCTTGGTATGTGGGGTTCCCTGCACATGGATTGTAACTCACCGTACAGTGCACATCCACACCCAATATTCACCGTTGATATTGGGGTTCGAGCTGGTAGTTCTATCAGTCGTCCAAAGACCTCCACCTCCGTGCATTTCCCCTCAATCATTCGCGATCGAGAGAATCGAGAGCATGATGGATAATATCATTATGTTCGTGCTTACTCATCCACTATGAAAGAGGTCGAAGTGATCGTCGAGCCTTTCAAGGACTTCTGTACTCTGTCGACGGTGTCGCCGTTTTGTTCACAAACTGGCTCTAAGTGTAGTGTCACACCAAAATAGCCCGAAGCTTTCACGAAGATCCATCGCAGCCATAGAGACAATCGAATGCAGGGCAACTTCGCTGCCATACCTTTGTGCTGGCCTGGTACTAATACATGAGCCGTGCTCACACGACGTTTTGAGCGCCTCATATTGAGCGTGTGAGATATAAATAACCGTGATGTACTGAAGGACCCCGCTTCTTTGGACTCCTATCTTGCGGCGGTGAAGTGATCTTTGGCAACAATGATAGTTTTCGGGCACGTTTCGCTAACTCGTCTGCCTCTGATGGCGTTGCGACGATCATGCACAGGACAGGGAAATGATCTTGCCAGAGTTGTGTGTACCCCTCTTTCACCTGGACAAAATAACTCTCGATGCACTACTTCTAGTAATATGCAAGGAGAATACACCGTCACTTCACAGTGTATCCTTTGGTGAGAGATGGCAAGTGGACAATGAGAATGATGGTCGGTGCCACCGCCACAACACTACTCATCCTGGCCGGCGTCTATTTTCCGAAACACTCAGAACTGAGAAAACATATCTCCCAGTCAGCGAATGATCAACTGACCAGAGTGATCTCGCCCGCCTTGTGTCGTCCAGGTGAGGAGACTGCCAAGATATTGTGCACTTGTGTACCAGTTGTCATTTTGACGGTTCAGCCTTGGGAGCTGTCGACCCACCGTCTTTGATTTGATTCATTCCAAAGGGCTCCTTTGGATTCGTGAAGAGAGTCAAGCAATCCCCCTCTCGTATGATACCTTTGCTGAGACCGAAGCTGCCATATTCCGCTGGGTGTTATACGGGATGTCTTTGGTGTTTCCTCGAGCACTGACTGTTCGATTTATCGTGCAAGCATACCTTCCGGTGAGTGAGCTCCGTCTCATTTCCAGCCCATTAGCTCATGTATCCAGCCCAGACATTTCACGACCCCACCTCTACATAGGAGATGTATTCCGAATGCACTGCCGTATTAAGCTCGAATGAAACGCAGCCCATCGCGGTGAGCGCTTGTTCACCCGTAAGTATTCAGATGATATATCCACTCGAAATCACTGTGAACTGCGCCGCCGTCAACCAGCAGGCGTACTTCAACGAGGCAGAGAAGCAGTGCCAGCCGTACGGTGGACATCTCGGGAACAGCGTCGACACGGGTGCTATGGTTAAGTGCTGCTCGAGCAGGGGTCGCGGAAGCAAGGCTGTCTAGCTGATACGATCATGAAGCTTTGAGGAGGACGGGGTAGAGACTGGATGGTGCGCGGTGTTGAGCGGCGAACGTATACTTACTATTAATATCTTCGACGACTTCCGAGGACTTGATTATTTATGGGCACCGGCTTCGGTCGAACGTTATGATGAGCACGATGTTGAATGAACCAGTTATTTGACGGATTATTTAGACCTGTAAGGCTTGTGAAGTCGAAATCACAACCTCCTTTGCTTCTTTTACATTCCCGTATATCAGATATGAGTGGTCGTAGGGCGATGGTGTTCCGAATGCTGTTGGGGCAAATAATTCATGGGAAGGAACGGACGGTAAGCCTCTCAATAAAATACTTTTCTTTCACACAAGGCTATTCACCCTGTCATTAGATCAACGGTGGTGCGAGGAGAATGAAGCATGTTTTTTGATCAACCAGGTCATACTCGGAGCAGGACTTTCTAAGAGTCATCTAGTGCGTGTGCCATCCATCTACGAGATTGGAATCAGTAGTACAAGAGATTGGAGTTTCAAAAAAAGAAAACGAGACAAATGTTCACAGCGAAGCTCACTTGAGACGCCAATGTAAAAGATAAGAAGGAGAGAAGAACAGGAAGAGCATGTAGGTAAAAGGGCATCTAAGTTGAGCCGTTCATATAGACAGCTCAAACGTTTGCGTCCAAGGAAACCTTGAGGTAGCGTTTCTCATCCGTATGCACAGGCAAGGAGCTAACCAGTCTATCCGCGGAGAGTTCACTGTCCCGATCGTGGAGATTAACGTTGTGAGATTCAGCATATTTGGCCCTGCCGGAGGCTTTGATTTCTTCGGTGATCTCCCACACGATGGAGAACAATCGAGCATTGGGCTTGACGGACACTATGTGAATATGAGTGTGGTTGTTCAATCAGTCTACCGTGCAATGCCGTGCAAGAAAGACCTATCCTCGTACTTGTTCGCTTTCCGAGAGGACTGTCCTTGAGGTATACGTCCACAGTCACTTGGATAAGCTCCCCAGCGTTGGCTTCTGGGCTGACTTGGTGACTAATCTGAAAAGAAAACATCCAACATCAGGCAATTGATCCGTGGCGTTTTCGTGTTTGCCCTTTTCTTCGCACAAAAAAAAAGCAACTCTACCTTCTCGAGGAACGTCTTGAATTCAGTCATGCGGGTTCTGTCTGCTTTCAACCCTTTCACAATATCTGCCTCGGATTCCGCCCAATTCTGGAGCTGTGCAACCAAATGTTAGACATACCATTACGGGCCGCCCTGTCAATCAATCAGGACGAATTGTAATGGGTCTCACCCGCAATGTCCCAAAACAATCCCTAATCTTGTTCCGGGCGCGGTCGAGCGAGCGCCTTACTTCGGAAGTTTCCACGTCGTGCGCGAGGATTTCCAGGCGGTCTAAAGTGACAGTTGCGGCGGATTCGAGAGTGGCGAATGTCTCGTCGAACGTCCTGCTCGGTCGGTGAATGTTAGAAACATTGCAGCACAATATACGTTTAGGACTCACTCTTTGATCGCCGCAAGGTCATCTTGACTGGAAGTCTTTTGGTGCCACAGGAGGCGACAGGCCATAACCAATTGAAGGGACTCCCGGAGGTATGGCCTGCGAACAGAATTAACTTGCTTGACAAGTCTCGTGAAGGTCGTCGAAGAGAGTTCCATGGTCTGATCTCATGCCGATCATCAACATTCAAATCAACTTCTCGATTATGGAAACACTCACATGGTCCATCAAAATTGTGTGCTTGTGTTGGAGGGCGACTATATCCACCTTTTCTTCCTGAAGTTGGGTGGAGACAGTCTCCAAGAAGCTGAGTATCGCAGAACTGCGATAAGAGCGCTAGCCCATATATACCGCGCGAGGGGTAAGACCTACTTCGTCGCATCCTGCAATGCATTGGTCAAATTCTTTGGTAAACTCCACTTAGGATATTTCTCCGGGTGCGAGGACATCTCCATTGTTGAATTTATCATTATGGAAGACTCCATAGTCATGCCAATAACCTTCTACATTGCTTATGTTAGTCCCTTGTGGGGCATCGCGTTGTTGCACAATTAGAATCTTACCTCCGTATCATTGGTACGTTTCCTCCAGAGTTTGGAGCGTAAGGTACTCACAACCCCAGAGAGCGTTCGGTAGCATTTCTTCGCTGTATCTCGCCTGATAGTAAAATATACAGTTGAGAATTTTTGAGCTTGTTCTTAGCAAACTGATTTACTTACCCTTCGTGTGGTATCTTCTCGAGGCCCTTCTTTATCCGTCCGACGAAAAAAGAAAGGAAAGACATGTTCCCACTCGTACTATCGGAGGGATCCCAGGTCTCCTCATCCTCTGGTAGTCTACTTCCACCGCAAGCCGTCTGGAGAGATAATCACCCGCTGTGTGAGTTCAACGGCGTCTCAACCATATGAAGAAAGCTGTGCAGTACCTTGTAGATTTCGGTGCGCTTGACTTCCAAGACTTGGCTCATGAACACCGTCCTTTGAGTGACGAAAGTCTTCTTCATTTCTATCGTCTCATTGACCTCAAAGAGCGTTTCAAATTGACGGCACAAGGCAATCCGATTCTCCACGTGGTCAGTGAGTGTGAAGAGAAACCTGTCGCGGAATAGATAAGGACTCAATGATCAGCTTACCGTAAATAAGCATGATATCGAGACGCGAAGGAGCCAGGGGAATGACTTGCCCTTCAAGCCAGTCAATAGCGTCCATATACTTCATATACCTGCTCCACCCGTCATCATCAGTCTTGAGCACTGACACATCGGAGTCGTGGATGTTATTATTGATAGCATCCCAGATGATCTGCGACACCTTGAGAACATCAAGGAAGTCTTCGAAGTAGTACTCGGATGAGCAGAGATCGGCCCCGATGTACTGTACCATTCAGAACGGTTCGCCACCCACTTGTGACCGTGACCAAAAACCTCACATTTCGCCACACCAGACGCTCATTGTGACCTGTGACCACACCCATTTTTCACCGCCTTCTCCGTACCATAGCTACTGAGTGTATGTCCTTCTAAATCAATCAAAATTCCTCTAAATATTCAGCTGTACTTATGACAAGGCTGCGTAGCGTACTTAAGTACTTAGACACTTATAGCGGAGTTTAAAATATTTGTGGTACACGTAAGGCCACTCAGGTCATTTGCGCCACATGAGCGCAAATTGTTCGAGACATCCTGGTCTCACCCACATTTTGCTTGCTTGTTGTTCCCTCCGCCTGCAGACACTCATCAGTATGCCACCTCCTGCAGCTGACAGTAGCTCCCATGAATTAAAGAATCTCCTCGACATGCCCCCTCATGCGAGAGAAGCTCTCCTTCCAGCTCCTGATTCCGGTGTTCTCGACTTCCTCAAGTTCGGACTCCCGGT